AAATGGGATCTGGTAACTGCCTTTGGGGTCAAAGGCCGGTTACAGATCTAGATGAGGGGTATTTAGGCCCAGTTCTCATCCTGCTCAGTGCCCTGTCGTGGTTTCCCTTGTGGTTGTCCAAGAGCGCGTTATTGATTCTGGTTATTCTGGTTATTAGACTTTGGCTTTGTTTTTGACTTCCCTATTTTCTGGCATCCCTGACTCCTGGCTTTTCCTTATCGTTGTGTCTCTTTCTGTTTCCTTTGACCTCGGCTATTCCTGACTATTCTTTGGTACGTTAGCCGGCCATTCTAAGGTCTGGTATACATTACCTATCAGTCTTCTGTGTTACACAATTCTACGTGCTGGATCATTCTGTAATCCTGACGATAGGTTGTAAAGAACTGAAAATTGTCATTTGTTGTGTTTGCAGCATATTTACTGAAATCAAAAGCTATTTCAATCAAACTTATAACAACGTTTTAACTTTTTAAACATTTTAACAGGTCACGTTACATTTTAATATAGGTCCCCTTATTTGATAGCAGCTTCACAAGTCTTGCATCCATTGAACTTGTGAGTTTTTGGACAGTTTCTGCTTTGTTTGCAAGATGTCAGAATAGCCTCCCAGAGCTGCTGTTTGGATGTAAACTGCCTCCCACCCTTATAGATCTTTTGCTTGAGGATGCTCCAAAGGTTCTCAATCGGATTGAGGTCAGGGGAGGATGGAGGCCACACCATGACTTTCTCTCCTTTTATCCCCATAGCAGCCATTGATGCAGAGGTATTCTTTGCAGCATAAGATGGTGCATTGTCCTGCATGAAGATGCTTTTATTACGGAAAACATAGTTCTTCCTTCTGTACCAGGGAAGAAAGTGGTCAGGCAGAAACTCCACATACTTTGAAGAGGTCATCTTTACACCTTTTGGGGACCCTAAAGGGGCCGACCAGCTCTCTTCCCATGATTCCGGCCCAAAACATGACTCCACCACCGCCTTGCTGATGTCGCAGCCTTGTTGGAACAGGGTGGCCGTCCACCAACCATCCACTACTCCATCCATCTAGACCATCCAGGGTTGCACGGCACTCGTCAGTGAACAGGACTGTTTGAAAATTAGTCTTCATGTATTTTGCTGCCCAATGCAGCCGTTTCTGCTTGTGAGCATTGGTTAGTGGTGGCCGAATAGAAGGTTTATGCACAGTTGCAAGACTCTGGAGGACTCTACACCTTGATGTCCGTGGGTCTCAAGGTGTAGAGCAGCTTCAAATATCTGTTTGCTGCTATGTAATGGTATTTTAGCAGCTGCTCTCTTGATCCGATGCATGGATCTGGCAGAAATCTTCCTCAATGTACCTTTTTCTGCTTGAACCCGTCTGTGTTCTGAATCAGCCACAAATCTCTTAATAGTGCGATGATCACGCTTAAGTTTTCAGGAAATATCTAATGTTTTCATACCTCGTCCAAGGCATTGAACTATTTCACTCTTTTCAGCAGCAGAGAGATCCTTTTTCTTCCCCATATTGCATGAAAATGGTGCTCTGCTTAATAACGTGGAACACCCTCCTTTAGTAGTTTTTCCTTAAATTGGGCTCACCTGGCAATCTAATTTTATAACATGACAGGAGGCTTCGTATTTGCTTAAGTCTCTCTTTACTAGAACTCCACAGCAGCACAGAAAAAACAACCAATAAGAGAAAAGTTAGGTACTATAAAACTCCCCTTCCCATACATCATTTCCTCTTTCTTTGCTGCTCCGCAGTCAGTACAGGTCAGAGTACCACTGCCTCCTGCTATTATTAGTTTAGATTTATCTGTCTGGGAACTTAATAATAATTTTCTGTAGCTTTATTCCTATGACACAGAGTTTGGTTACATTATTAGAGAGTGCGGCTCTCTCATACACTCAACACACTACGGTGCCGTCCCTTTGTTTCATCACACAGGCTTTTACCTGTACAGGACAACGATGACTACATAGAGATAAGTGACAGTAGACGGATCGATGAAGATGCCAGTTGTAGAGAACCCTTAGGTTAATAGAGCCGAGGGGTGGTCGGTGTTTGGTAGATATATGTGGCGAACTTGCCCTTGCCACAAGCTCCTGGAGGAGCCTGCTTGCTAGGCTTCTGCCTCAGGACTATGGGCCATGCTAAAAGACTATTGAAAGACTGGGTTCGTGGGATTCCCTTGGACTGTGTGGGAACCGAACCAGCCCACAAACTATGGACCACCTCTAAGCTTATTGACCCTTGTTAACCTCTCCTGACACTTCAATCAGTGTGGGTTATAATTGTGCGGCTGGGTTGCCGCTGTTCGCATTCTCGAACGCGTGGGAATTGTTAGCGGCCATTTTGTTCACGAGAATGCAGGCATACGAACAAACGCTACCAAGAAGCCAGAGTGTGCGTACCGTAGTTCTTTCACATGGAACTCCCGAAGTTGACCAGCCAAAAGCACAAAAAGCCCTGGAACGGTGTTGGGTATAGGACCATGTGTGCGGCCGGTCAGAACTTCCACACGGTGGCGTTTCGGCTCTGTTTGTGGGATCTGAGCACTTTCTGGATATAGTGGGTGCTTAGATCCAGGCTTTCCGGGGATGTATAGACTGTGGGGGTTCCTATGTGGGAAATATGTGTTTTTAATATTTTGTATTTTATGCTGAGTCACAGTGACACTGTATTTTGTGGCACATTGTGGGTGTGTTTATGGGTGTGTTCGGAGGCATGTGAATGTGCTCAGATTCTGTATATAAGTGAGCCATTTGGCTGGAATAAACTGTTCACTCCCAGCATGCAGGCTCGCCTAATGTCTGTGGGGAAAAGCTATACTTGCTATAATCACTTGATATACAGCGATGCTCTCTTGGAGGAAAGGTCTTCCCACTGGGAGATGGATCCAGGTGTTGGTCCAGGGTGGGAAGGGACGGCGAGGCTCCAGCCAAGCTGCGGCTGCTAAGGGGACTCCATAGTTTATGGAGTGCTTATGGTGTCCGGTGCAGTGCTTATGGTACTCAGGGACAGCTTGAAAGTACCAGGTGGTCCGTCACAATATATAAAGAGGAAACAAGTCTACGTTCGGGGAACAAACAAGGGGAGTAAAGACAACAAACGTAGAGGGAACCAAGTCTGCTACAGTGACACATGGCATACACTTAGCATGACAAACAGAAGACACAGAAAGTGACACATGGCAGACACTGAGCATGACAAATGGATGACAGAAAGTGACATGTGGCAGACACTGAGCATGACAAATAGAAGACAGAAAGTAGCACGTGGCAGACACAGAAAGTGACACGAGACACTAGGCATGACAAATGGAAGACAAAGAAAGTGACATGAGAAGACACTGAGTGAAACACCTTATATTATAATATAACCAAAGTTAGCATCGCACATGACACACGACAGGAAGTCACATAACACAACAGATAACAATAAGCCGGAACAGCGTGGAGTGACAGAGACAGAGAACTGAAAGAGGCTAATAGGAACGCTGTGACACTCACGGAGGTGCCAGAGACCCATGGTATAGGTATCATGTTTGTGACCACCCAGTAGTTATCAGAAAGTGCTGCAACGTCAGGATATGCCCGCCCACTGCGATTGAAATAACTCTCTGGTGGCAATTTGACCAGCTGGAGGTACTGAGACACAGCATTGGCCTACAGAATGAAGAAAAACATGAATTATCTGCTCATAGAGAGAACATTACTACACAAAGGAGATGCATAAAGTGCAAGAATTTATCTGGTTGCTCCCAGTCTATAACATCAATAAACATTGACCAATTATGTGAACACAAAGACCTCCAAAAGATAACATGAAACAAGGGACAAGTAGAGCAAACACACACACACACATTACACACAGCCAGCAGACACTACACACACTACACTCAGCCATCACACACACACACACACATTACACACAGCCAGCAGACACTACACACAGACTCTACACTCTAGACTTTATAAAGGCTCAGAGAGGAGCCAAAATGTTGTCTACACTTTCATGATCCAAATAAAAAGACTGCCTTTTAGAAGAAACCTCAGGTGTACCTGGATCATTATTTTCTTCCATTTGATGTCTTTAGGGATTGGCAGTCCCTTTCTGGAGCACCCTGAAGGAAGTATTCCCCCTTTTTAGTGTTTGCATTTGTCATGATACCTGTTGTGTCTGCTGTAGAGGAGGTCGGGCATTTGGATACCTATTCCCAGGAAGGCACTCATGCACCCATCTCCTTCAGCCATTTCGGCCGTTTAGACGCGGCGCAACTTTGCCGAAATTTTTTTCGAATCAGGACGTTTTGGGGGCATGGACATCATTTAAAGAGCCAAGGTATAAAAGGTACTCACTTACAGTGAGTCATTGCCCTGTCGTGGTTCCAGCTTGTCTGATCCCTCAGTGCTATTTCTTTTCTTGATTTTTTGTTCTTAACTTGGCTTTGTATCTTGACATTGCTACTTTGTCCTTCCCTCGACCTCGGCTTGTTCCTGACCATTCTTTGTTCGTGTGACGTTAGTCCGGACACTCTAAGGTCCGGTATACGTCTTTCTAGTTATTACTCTGCGTGTTGGATCCCTGTCTCGATCCTGACAGCATTATACTCTTGTTTTTGCAAACAGCTACACATAGGGATTACACACCACACACAGCGATCACACACCACACACATTACAAACAGCCAGCAGACACCACACACACTACACTCAGCCACCACACAAAGACATTACACACAGCCAGCAGACACCACACACACTACACTCAGCCATCACACAAACACATTACACACAGCCAGCAGAAACTACTCACACTACACACAGCCATTACATAAACACATTACACACAGCCAGTAGACATTACTCACACTACACACAGCCATTACACACAGCCAGTAGACATTACTCACACTACACACAGCCATTACACACAGCCAGTAGACATTACTCACACTACACACAGCCATTACACACAGCTAGCAGGCATTACTCATACTACACACAGCCAGCAGGCATTACTCAAACTACACACAGCCATTACACACAGCTAGCAGGCATTACTCACACTACACACAGCTAGCCATAGAGTAATGCCTACTGGCTGTGTGTAATGGCTGTGTGTAATGTGTAGAGTAATGCCATATGAGTAACCTCAATACTCTCTTTATTGTCTTATTTAAACTGTTTAGAGACAAAGTTTTATCCAAGCCTTCACTAACAGAGCAATAGTAAGATTCCACCTTCAGTATGTATCACCTTTTTGGGCACATGTTTTAATGAAAGATAGCAATGAGACACTGTAGGCACTATAACTGTTCCATCACAATGAAGTGATTATGGTGCATGGAGTCCCCTGGCACTGTCCCTCCATTCAGTGTTAAACCATTCCATCTCATTGAAGTGGTTATAGTGCCTGGAGTCCCCTGGCACTGTCCCTCCATTCAGTGTTAAACCATTGCTACTCATTGAAGTGGTTGTAGTGTCTGGAGTCCCCTGGCACTGTCCCTCCATTCATTGTTAAACCATTCCATCTCATTGAAGTGGTTATAGTGTCTGGAGTCCCCTGGCACTGTCCCTCCTTTCAGTGTTAAACTAGTCCTTTTCATTGAAGTGGTTATAGTGCCTGGAGTCCCCTGGCGCTGTCCCTCCATTCATTGTTAAACCATTCCATCTCATTGAAGTGGTTATAGTGTCTGGAGTCCCCTGGCACTGTCCCTCCTTTCAGTGTTAAACTATTCCTTTTCATTGAAGTGGTTATAGTGTTTGGAGTCCCTGAAGCTGTCCCTCCATTCAATGTTAAAACCATTCCATCTCATTGAAGTGGTTACAGTGCCTACAGTGTACCTTTAAGAAATTAGAAGATATGCAGAGGCAGGCTACACAATTCATAAGGGGAATGGAAGACTTCATTAATGAAGAAACTCTAGTAAAACAACATTTGTCAAGAGAAATGATATATAAGTAATCTGATAACTGGTTCATTATTAGGACTGTACAAAAGACAAGAAAAAAACAGACTGCGCCAAATAAGAAATACTAGATAACCGTATGCAGATTTTTGTATACACAATATTATATATAAAAACATTGAGATAAAACAATAATAAAGAGATTTTGCCTACAGCAAAGGAAAGGGTTCTTTACAGTAAGAGTAATACAGACATGGAAATTTCTGCCTAACAAAGTTGTACTTCTAAAGTCTGTATAGATTTTTTAAAAAGTTAAAGCAGAGTTTGAACTTTGAGGTACACTTTTTTTTTTTTTTTAGCCCAGATCCCCAAGATGATCCCTAACTACATGGGAAACACGAGGTGATTTCAGTGGCTGAGGAACCAGGAGCTGGTGAGGAATTAGTTTTTCTACTGGATAAACTAACCAAGATTGAGAGGCAAACGATGAAGATGGGAGTCTGATCTAGCTTCAAAGACCAGGATCAAGTCACTATATGACACATGGGGAGTGGGGTCTTCCTACCTGATACTGTGGCATAGCGAATGAGTTGCTAAATCCCCCGCCACTGATGTAGTCCGTCACTTCGTAGGTAACCTGGAATGGGTTCTTGAAAGATGTTCCGCCTACTGTTGTTACATATGGACTGGATAGATAACACGAAAAAAGGAACATTATCCGGGACAGTTTGTAGGCACTAATAGCCAACTCCGGGCACTTACACAACTTTTATACATTTTATAGCCTTTGGTCTTGCTGCATATTTGAATAAATAGTTTATTTCAATAGTTTTTACAAAAATCATTAAGTACATTTTTTGCCATATCTTCCCATTTAACTCCGCCTCATCTGCTCCATGATAAAATCCTTCCTTCTGGTTTCTCTACCTGCGTACCTGATATCACAGCTTCCTGTCCCTGTCCAATAACACGGCTGGACATGTGACCATGAAGCACATCAAAGCTAATGAATCACATATTGTTTGTACTATCTCTGCAATGCCTTTACAACAGAAGGGGCCACTCTCTGCCTATATTACTCCTTTTTCATCACATATGGAACCCTTAAAGACAGAGATTGGTGAGCAGGCTGTAGAAGAGTCCACAAAGCCCACTTGCAGGGGAGTATGTGAGTGGTAGGTCAGAGTGTGTGAATGCAGGTTTGTGTGTCCATGTTCTATAGGATTGATATTGTGCAGGGTTGTATTTGTACATATTGTCAGCGTAATGTTAATGTATGTGCAGGGTTTTATTTGTGTCCAGCGTTATATATATGTGTAATTTCAATATGATGGAGGGTTGTACAGTGGAGGATCCAAAACCTGATCTCGGGAGGGGCACTTGTAGATTATTTAAAGAAATAATCCATGCACAATAACCACAACAGCTCTGTGTAGTGGTTTATGGTGCCAGGAGTGCCGGGACCCCCTCCAAGAGTAAGTAGTTAAATCGTTTAAGAACAGTTTGACAACTTACCTGGGGCCTGCTGGGATATGGGGCTGTAGTAGGGTATAGGAGCAGTGGTGTATGTGAGTGGTGTAATATGTGAGGGTTTTAGTGTGTGAATGTGTAGGGCAATGTGTGAGTGGGGAGCTGTGTATGTGGGGCAGTGTGTGTGTGTCTGTGGGGCAGTATGTGTATGGATGGGCAGAGTATGTGTGTGGGGCTGTGTATGGGGGGCAGTGTGGTATGTATGGGGGCAGGGTGTGTGTGTGTGTGGGGGCAGTGTGGTGTGCATGGGGGCAGTGTATGTGTGTTTGGGGGCAGTGTATGTGAGGGCAGTGTATGTGTGTGTGTATGGGGGGTAGTGTATGTATGTGTGGGGCAATGTATGTGGGGGCAGTGTATGTGGGGCAGTGTGTATATGGGGGCAGTGAGTGTATGTGTGTGTGGGGCAGTGTGTGAATGTGTGGTGGGGGACTCTTTTCGAAAAAAAATAATGTATTTAATAAAAATCTTACCTTTAGTGAGGGAGGAGCGGGGACATTTCTCAATCCCTGGTGGTCCCAGTGGTCAGAGTAGCCTGCAGCTCCAGGGCTAGAGTTCACTCTCGCAAGATTTGGAGCGTTGCCATGGTAACCTCCCAGGTCCTCTCTCCCTCCCTCCCCTGCAAGCTGCCAGCAATGTGCCTGCAGACCGGGGAATGAGATCTCTGCCTCCAGTCTGTGAAGGCACATTGCAGGGCTGGCGCTTAGACAGTGCCAGCCCTGCATTAGCCGGCAGGGGAGACGCTCAGGGGAGGCAATTGCCCAGTTGCGCCCTCTCCCCCAGACCCGCCAGTGGGGTTGTATTTGTGAAGAGTGTCAGTGTGTGCGCAGCATTCTATTCGTGCATAATGGAGTACGGGTGCAGAGTTGTATGTGTGCTTAGTGTCTGTATCGTGCAGGCAGGGCCGTCTTAAACACGTGGCAAACGGGGCAGCTGCCCAGGGCCCAGTGACTTCAGGGGGCTCAAAGCTGATGCCCCGTGGGCCCCGCTGCCCTCAAGAACCCACCCCACCCATTGCCCCCACACACTTGTTTTTAGCAGGGGCCCTGTCACGCACTAAAAACAGCGCAACCGGCCCCCTTTTTTTTGCCCGCCGTCTGGGAGAAAGTGACTTCCTTCCATAAAGAGAGAAGTCGTGGGGAGGGGGAGGAGGGCAGAAGGAGCTGTGTGGGAGGGAATAGGAAGAGGCAGTGAGGAGGGTGGATTTAAAAATGTAAATTTTACCTGTCTGTCTGTGTGTGTCAGTCTGTCGATGTGTGTCAGTATGTCTGTGTGTGTATCTGTGTGTATTAGTATTTATGTCAGTATATGTGAATGTGTGTGAGGGTCAGTATGTCTGTGTGTCAGTATGTCTATCAGTGTAGGTGGCTGTGTATCAGTATGTTAGTCAGTGTATGTATCTTTGTGTGTCAGTATGTCTGTCAGTGTATGTATCCTTGTGTGTCAGTATGTCTGTCGGTGTATGTATTTGTGTGTGTCAGTATGTCTGTCGGTGTATGTATTTGTGTGTGTCATTATGTCTGCCAGTGTATGTATTTGTGTTTGTCAGTATGTTTGCCGGTGCATGTGTCTGTCTGACAGTATATGTGTCAGTGTATCTGTGTGTTGTCAGTGTATGTATCTGTATGTAGTCAGTGTGTGTATCTGTGTATCTGCATGTGTGTCTGTGTTCGTATGTCTGACAGTATATGTGTCAGTGTATCTGCATACATGTGTGTGTGCATCTTTATGTGTGTATTTATATGTTATGAGTGTGTGTATCTGTATGTAGTCAGTGTGTACACCTATGTGTTTGAGCATCTGCAAGTGTGTCAGTGTGTATATCTGTGTATCTGCATGTGTTTCAGTGTGTCAGTGTGTATCTGTGTGTATGTGTATCACAGTGTGTGTGGTATGTGCATATATCTCAGCATTGATACACCAACACTACATACAAATACACCACTGCATTCAAACTTCAACACTACGTACAAAAACATTTTGGTGTTAAATACCAATAATATATAAGCACATCCCTACATTCAAAAAAACAGCACTACACATAAATGCATGTTTGCATTCATATGCCACATACAAACACACCCCTACATTCACACAAACATCCTCAATATAAAAACATGATTACATTCAAACACACCAATACGGCTCAATGCTAAATACAACCCTGCAAGCATGGGAAAATGATAGAGCCCCAGTGTTTATGCTCTGTCAGACTCTATATCTTTATCCCTTTTACCAGCTGTGTCTAATGATTATTTTCACCTCCACCCCAGACCATGTTTCTCTCCAAGCTCTAGTATTCCAACCAAATCCCGTCTTTCCCCCTTTTTACTAATTTACGGCAGGCCTGACCACTTCTCCATGACGTGACACTTAATAGATCAGTTGCTGTAAGCTGATTGAGCATGGTTGCCTCCTTCACCTTTCTCCTCACTTTTCTGTTTTCATAACATTGCTGCATCTTAATGAATATTTTCAAACAAATACTTTGTCTCACCTGGAGGCTGGAAAGCTTGGACGAAATGTATCTTTGTCTTTTGCGATTTCTCTGCAACCAGCACCATCATCACCTGCAAAAAAAAAAAAGTTATCCATTAACTCGCATCTAAAAAACACACCTTAGATCGCAAACTCTTGGGCTTCTTAAGGGTGTGTTGACCCTGATAGTTACACCTCATGGTCTGATGATTAATCC